TACAGATTCGTAGGCAGATTCGAGAGGGTGAGATCCAATGATATCGCTCTTAACACCGTGAAGACCAAAGCGCAGAGCATCGTTTTTCATACCTCCGATCTCATGAGCTATCTTCTTCTCCGAATCCATTTCTCCTCTTGGATTTCTTTTTTGCTCCGCCGTTCTACTTTTAACTTTCTCGGCGACTTTCTGGACAAGCAAGGTAAAGCACAATCAGAGAGAGAAGAAGGAACTAAGTTTAATTATGGACTCTAATAGAATGATTTTAAGTAAAGCTCAAAACCCAAGGCCCATTTAGACTTTCTTTCTTACTCTGTCATATACTTTTAAGCCCATTTAACTCAAATGAAAATTGGTCAGACTAGTAATTTTTTTACCGCCTGAAAACATCAAGAGATAACTATACAAAAATAGAACGAGACAAGTATTTGAACCAAATTTCTCTTTCTATCCATATCCATTAGGAATTCGTAACAAACCAAATTTATGGTTCAAATGGTTGCAGCGATTGGGGCGAACAAATCCGTTTGTGGATTGGATCACTTTTTATTTATCATTCATAAATTATAATCCGTAGTGGTGCGGACCGAGAAAAGTAGAAGACATCCGCCGCGAAAAAAATTCGATTTGCTTGTATTGTTGTCCACGAATACGAAACTAATAGACAGTGTAAACGAGTTCGTACAATGCGAGGAAACTTTTAACAAATCTGGTGGACGTTAGGTAAGGCTGTTTCCAATTGCGATTTCTGTAAGTAGTATGAACATTTTATACATTGGATGATTATATAGAATTTATATACAAGACCAAAATTACAAAATAACATTTGTCTGAAAACGTTGCCGTATACATGATTGTCAAACGGTAGAAGATACAGAGTTGGTGGAGAGGTTGGATATCAGTCTTACTTCATAGAGATTCTCTCTTTCTCCTTTACCTTCAAAGCATAACAACGAAGACACTTTTTATGATTCAGAAATTTATGAACCGAGAACAAGCAAATCAAAACCATGAATCGTGAACTACTTACCAACTTCTGCAGTGATGTTTGGTCCAAAGAAGGAAGTGAATTTCGCCTATACAAACAAGATTTTTATGCTTAGTTTCAGTTTTCTGTTTTTCTACTTCTTAGAAACTATATTTGATCAAACCAACGCTAGTTAAGCTATTTTCTTATGCGCCAAGCCGATTAGTGCGTAGCTTGTTAGTTTATGAATCTTACTCTTACCTGTCTTTTCTCAAAATCTGACAACGTCAGAGCTTTGGCCTCAAATACAAGGACCAGACAGTAACGACCATCGGTCAGGACCTACAGACATGAGTAAGTTTAGTTTCACCAGTCAATATCAAAATGAGTTATATATTTTGATTATACATATAAAAAGATGATGTAAAATCATGCACATGAAGTCATGAAGAAATTTACCTCCTCCCTTATCAGCTGTAAGATAGGTGCACTACGTCTTGGGATTCCTCCTCCCTTATGACCAAAACAGTCGAAAGAAAGAGGGGTTAAAGCGGAAGTATATAAAGCGTGTTGTGCTTTATTTTGTTTCAATAAAATAGCTTACCAGTCCATATTGAAAGATTCGTTTTAGCGCTTCTTCCAAATGTTGTTCATCTCCATAACGGTATCTCGTGACATCATTTCTAACCTAATAAATGAAAGAAGAAGCCAGACACATTTACAAATCATGAGAATTAAGTTTAACATCCTATGTACTATGATGAAAACTTTTAACACCCTTTCCTCCAAATAGAGATAAATATGTTTTAGAAAATTAATGTAACAGAGAAGAGCTGAAGTATAATCTAGAATCAGAATGAAGGTACTCCGGTAAATATCGAGAGCAACCAGAACTACTAAGCACCTGCGTTAAAATAGGAGTGGCACAGCTTTCTCTAAGCTTTACAGCATCTGAGTAGCTCAAGCAAGGAACTGGTTTGAGTTCTGCGTACTGCAACGGAATCAAAACCGATCCTCAGGGACTAAAAAATTACGCATTCAGAAAAACCAAAGAAAGAAATGAATAACTTTAATACAAAAGTCAACTTTCTCGGTAAAGTTACAGCTATCCGAAATATTCAACTTTCTCAAGGACATGATACTGAGAAAGATAACTGAAGAGCATAAAGAGATAGCATACCTTAAGAGCCATTCCAATTATAGCAAGGGGAAATCCATATGTTAGCATAATAGCAGACCACTCAGATCCAGGAAGGATATTAAAATAAGCCCCAAAACCATACCTGTAGGATTTTAACACATCCATAATGTTAAAACTCACATATAACTCTATAGCAACAATGAAGGCATGAAAAAACTCACGAGAGTAGCGAAACCCCGAGACCTAGCCCAATAACACCAAATGAAATCTGCAATCCAAAAACACATGGAAAACTTCTCATTGTGAAAATTGTTCCAACACATTCTAAACCAAACTAGGATCTTGGTTTCGTAGTAACGAGAAACCGTATACTGTACCATTCTACTGAGGTTTTAACAGAAACAAAACAACAAATTTTGATACCAATGAGATATGTTTCCTTGAATTTTCATCACAATCTATGAATTGCAGACGACTGAATCGAAATTCAGTGGAATTAGGAATCTAACTACTTCACTAATTTCTCGATTATATAATCACATTAACACAATTAACTTGAAGAAACACTTAAATTAGGGATTTAAAAAGGTGGACAGCAATATAACCTTGGCTAAAGTGAATTCATCATCAGGGATTAGGGTTCTATCACCGGAAGCTACTGAAGGAGAAGAGCTCGTGGAATCAGCAGCTCTTGTAATGAAATCGAGCTTTAGAATCTCTCTTTTCAACCTCGTCTCGGGAACGTAAAGCCATCTCTGCTTTGGCATCAGAGACGGTAGTGAAGAAGAAACGACGGATAGATTCTCATGGCGGCGATTGTATAAACTGTCACGACGGAGATTGGAGAATAAGACGGTGGTTCCCGGAGCTGCCGATATGGATCCCATTTTCTCTTCTTCTCTTCTCTCTCTGTGTATCTTTGTGCGAGTAATGTGAGGCTGAGGTAAAGAGTGTATCAGCCGCCAAAATTCTGGCCACGGTTTACCTATTCTAAATTCGGGTTACGAAAAACCGGTCTACAGTTAAAACCTATTGACATTTTGGTTCGGTTTCTATCGAATAGTTCTGGCATTTTAGATATTTGGTTCGGTATTTTCTGTTTTCTGTATTTTTAAAATATATTGGCTATGAATGGTTGTGAGTTTTTAAATAGTTTTTAGATTATAGTTTTTGGTTTTTAATTTTTAGTTTTTGATTTTTGTGTTTTTAGTTTTTGTAATAGATTTTAGTTTTCTTAAAAACTTGAATGGTGATTTTAGTTTTTGGTTGTTTTCTTTTTTAAATTATAAAGATAGAAAAGAAAAAGAGAATTGTCGTGGGTTTTTTCTTCAAATCTCAAATTATGTGGATTCTAGTTTGGGAAAAATGTCATTAAAATTCCCAACTTATTCAAAACGTTGATTTAAATCCTCAACTCACGACGAAACGAAATAAATATCAAACTTATGTTGACTTTCCAAATAAATATTAAACTTATGTTGACTTTCCAAATAAACACCAAACTTTCATTGACTTGGCCATATTAGACATGACGTTAAGTGAGTTAACAGACAATGTTAACGGGATTAATTTTCTGTTAACAGATCCGCTAATTAAAAATGACAGTATTGTTGAACTATAATCAAATCTCATCTAAGTCATATAACCTAAAATCGTATTCCTATAAGTTAGTTATTTACGTAAGAGTCACGAATGTACGTACGTATAGTTGTGTCTGTTCGTAAAGTTGTGTCTTTTCGATTAACACATGTACGTATACGTTGTTTCGTGTTGTATAAGTAGATCGAGTCAAACTCAATAACATCATTGTTTGTAATACATTTTCTCTTATCAATAAAAATCAAGTTTCTTCATATTCTATTTTTCATTTTGGTTTTGTTCTTCATACGCTGTTAAAACAGAGTTCGTTTGTTGATCAAAACACTAACAAGTATTCCTTCTAAACATAAAACGACGTTGTTTTGTATTAACTGTTCAATAAAATCCCGAGTTTCAAATCATACTCTATTTAGGGTTAGGGATTTTGCTCGATTTGGGGATCTAAGATTGACTTTAGGGATTTAATTCAATTGTTACGACAAAACGACGTCGTTTTGTTGTTATATGAAACAATGTCGTTATCAATTAACATATATGTTAACAGAAAATTACCTCCGTTTACGAGATCTATTAACTCACTTAACGTCGTACCTAATATGGCCAGGTCAACGGAAGTTTGATATTTATTTGGAAAGTCAACATAAGTATGATATTTATTTGGAAAGTCAACATAAGTTTGATATTTATTTCGTTTTGTCATGAGTTGAGAATTTATTAACCCACTTAACGTCGTACCTAATATGATCAGGTCAACGGAAGTTTGATATTTATTTGGAAAGTCAATGAAAGTTTGGTGTTTATTTGGAAAGTCAACAAAAGTTTAATATTTATTTGGAAAGTCAACATAAGTTTGATATTTATTTTGTTTCGTCATGAGTTGAGGATTTAAATCAACGTTTTGAATAAGTTGGGGATTTTAACGACATTTTTCCCATTCTAGTTTTTGATCTATTTTGTTTAAAATCTTGAATGGAGAAAAAATGGGTTTTTGAAAAAACAAAATCCAAAAACTATTATAGAATCTACTACCATTCAAGGCCTTTGAGTTTTGTATTTATTTGAGTCAATTTCGGTTAGGTTTCAATTCTCTGTTTGGTTCGGTTTCAATTCCTCTCTGTTTAGTTCGGTTTCGGTTTGGTCTACAATAATTTTTAGTATTATTTGAAAATTAGAATTTACCAAATTAAAACCGAACTGAAAATAGTTTGGGTGATTAAATTTGGATTTTATCTGATTTATGTAGGAGTGAAAACCAATGCCATAATAAACATGATTAAAATTTAAACCGGTTTATACCTTAACCAAAACCGGTTTAGTCCCAATCCTTGAAGTTCTCTGCAGGTTGGAGAAGTGCACGAAATCGAGAGGTTTGTTTGATCAACTGCGATTTCGTCTCAGATATTTATGTCAATGTCGTCCCGGCGAAAGAAGAAGCGGTACACGATGCCGCCGCAGTCGAACCCGAATCCGTCACTTCCCGATGATTTGATATTGAGCTGCGTCGCACGGGTCTCAAAATTGTATTATCCGACTCTCTCCCTCGTCTCCAAGAGCTTTCGATCTCTCCTAGCTTCACCAGAGATTTACAAGACCCGATCACTCTTGGACCGCACCGAGAGTTGTCTCTATGTGTGCTTAAAGTTAAATCCTTTTGATGAGAACCCTAGGTGGTTTACTCTCTGCCGGAAACATAATCGAACCCTAAAGTCAAGTGGGTATGTTTTGGCTACACTTCCAATTCCACATTCTCCTCTTGAGTCATCTTCTTCGAGTCTTGTGTCGGTTTGTTCTAATATCTACAACATTGGCGGATCTGAATCGCCTTCCTCTAGCGTCTCGATTCTGGATTGCACGTCTAACACGTGGCGTGAGGGCCCTAGCTTGCGGGTGAAGCTAATGTCATGTGCTGCTTGCGTTCTTGATGGAAAGATATATGTATCAGGAAGCTGCGAAGATGACGATTCCGCGACGTTCCAAGTGTTTGACACAAATACACAAACTTGGGATCTTGTGCCCATCCCTTGCAGCGAGACAAAACACGACTTTCACTACAAAATCGTATGCTTTGACGGAAAGTTGCACATGGTGAGTAACAAAGGTGTGAATGCTTACAATACCAAGGAAGGTAGATGGGACGTGGTTGAACCAAGCAGAGAACATTTTAAGTATTTATATGATTCTTATTGCAAAATAGGGAATGTTTGGTACTCTGTTTTAAAAGGACCGTTCTCAAAGTTCATATGGTATAACACTGAGCAAAGAGTATGGAGAGAACTGAAGGGTATGGAAGGATTACCTAAGTTCCCTTTTGATGCTTGTGTTAGATTGGCTGATTATGGTGGGAAGATGGTGGTTTTGTGGGATGAGTATTTTCCTGGCGGAAAGAAGATGATTTGGTGTGCGGAGATTGCACTTGAAAGACGCGGAAGTTTGGAAATTTGGGGGGAGGTTAAATGGTTTGATCATATGCTTACAGTCCCTGGACATTATGAATTCGTCAAGGTTCTTTCTGTTACTGTTTAATGAATGTGTCACAAGGCTTGATACTATGCTAGTATGATTTTGTCCCTTGTTTTACTTCTAGTTATTCGATGTCACTTATCAAATTGATAAGCATATTTTTTTACCACAAAAAAAATTTTGAAAATTCCAAAGTGTGCAAAGAAATTGTGACGCTGAAAGATCCTAAAGTATGTATATAGATGTGATTTGAGATCGATCAAGCAATCTTAACCCCTGTATATGTATCCTCATGAAACTCTTTATCTGGTTATCTAGAAGTGAAAACTAATTTCTTATTAACCCAACAATTATCAAAACTTTAACCGGTTCTCACCTTATCCAAAGGCATGAACCGGCATAAAGTCCAACCCTAAATTAGTTCTCTCCAAGTTCGAGAAGAAGTTGACAACAGCGATTTTCGTCTCTTAAACTCCGTCAATGTCGTCTCCGGAAAAGCTGTCGCCGGCGCCGGAATCGAACCCAAATCCGTCACTTCCCGATGCGTTGCTAATAAGCTGTATCGCACGAGTCTCAAGATTGTATTATCCGACTCTCTCCCTTGTCTCCAAAAGCTTTCGATCTCTCCTAGCTTCACCGGAGCTTTACAAGGCCCGATTACTCTTGGACCGCACCGAGAGTTGTCTCTATGTATGCTTAAAGCTAAGTCCTTCTGAGAACCCTAGCTGGTTCACTCTCTGCCTGAAACCCGATGAAACCCTAACTTATGACACAAGTAATAAGAAAAAGTCAAGTGGTTATGTTTTGGCTAAAGTCCCAATTCCACATTCTCCTCCTGTGAAAAGTTCGAGTCTCGTGGTGGTTGGTTCTAATATCTACAACATTGGCTGTAATATCTACAGCATTGGCAGATCCAGATCACCTTACTCTAACGTTTCTATTTTTGATTGCCGGTCTCACACATGGCGCGAGGCTCCAAGCTTGCCAGTGGAGCTATTTGCAGTTTCTGCTGGCGTCGTTGATGGAAAGATATATGTAACCAGAAGCTGCAAAGATGACGATTCTTATAACTTGAAGAACACTTTCGAGGTGTTCGACACAAAAACACAAGTTTGGGATCATGTGCCAAGCCCTTACAGCCAAACAAAACACAACTCTTACTCCAAAAGCCTATGTATTGACGAAAAGTGGTACGTGGTGACTAAAAGAAAGGTGGTTGCTTACAATCCCAAGAAAGGTAAATGGGACCATGTTGAATCAGAGATGTGTAGTTACAAGTCTTCATATGGTTATTGTGTGATAGAGAACGTTTTGTACTCTGTGGAAAAAACATGGCGTGGCACTGATTTCAGATGGTATGACACTGAGCTAAGACAGTGGAGAAAAGTGAAGGGTTTGGTAGAACAACTACCTATAATTCTTGCTTGTGTTAGATTTGCTGATTATGGTGGAAAGATGGCGGTTTTGTGGAAGGAGAATATGACTTATGGTGGGTCTAATAAGATGCTCTGGTGTGCAGTGATTACGCTTGAAAGGCGCAAAAATCATGAAATTTGGGGAAAAGTCGAGTGGTTTGATCATGTGCTAACAGTCCCTATAACATGTGTTTTAGAAAAGGTTCTTGTTGCTACTGTTTGATGAATGTGTGTGGTGTATATGCAACCATGATGAATAACTTTTTCTATTGTTTCACTTCTAATCATTTAGTGCCACTTTTTGATTGTGAGGTTTATTTTGAGACCAAATAAATTACATGGCAAAAGAGTTTTTGAGTCAACCTTTTACCTCTCCGCTTATCAGAATCATGTTCTTATGTGCTCGCAGCCAAAAGAGAAAAATCTTCACTAAGAAGTAGTAATAGAAGAGATTCAAAATGATATACTCTTTGTGAAGACAAACGAAGAGATTGTACATTTTTTCACACCTTGAAGCAGTTAAAATGTTTTGTATTGACTTCTCAGTTTCCAAAAAAACAAGACCATTGTTATCCAATTTAACCGGTTTGGTTCTAACAGCAGTATCACTTCCTTGATGACTCATTTTAAACACGATACAACACTTAAGCCTCTAATCATATGATCATGGAACCATAAAAAAAAAAACCAAAGGAGTCTAGATTTGTACTTAATTTTAGATAGCATGTCTAGGCCTGGACATATGGGTAACCCGTTCGGGTTTGGGTTGAATGGGTAATGAATTTATGGCCCATTCGAGTATTTCTAAAGATTCGGTTCCGGTCCGGTTCGGGTATCGGATTCGGGTCGGTTTGGGTGATAAGCATGAGAACCAAAAAAAATCCGAAAAATTTGGGTCCCCATTGGGTTCGGATCTAAATGGATAAAATTATCCATAAACCCGAAATATGACTTCAATACCCGAAGTTTTGAATCATTGTACATGCTCAAATGATCAAATAAAGAGAACAAAACATCAAACATGACATCTAAAGACTAAATCCAATCCAAAATCACAAACATGTTCGGTGACAGTAAGGTCGCCGAGAGTGTCGCGACGAGGGTTTCCAGTTTCGATAATGAGACTCAAAAGGGGATTTTAAGCAGAGTTGTATCGTCATGTAAAAAAAACAACAAGTTTCAGTTTAATCAAAAGAGTTATTTTTGTTCTTGTCTTCTTTACAAGAGAAGAGACAAATGTCTCTTGCACTGTTTTTCTTCTTTCTCTAAATATTCCAACAAAGTTGAGTGAGTTGCTCCTGTGCTTACTGTTCCTAAAACATGTTTTCCAAAAGCTTCTTGCTGCTACTGTTTAATGAATGCGTCACAAGTATTTAAAATGTGTATTGTGTATGCATTACGCAAGTATAATGAATGACCTCGTCTATTGAAAATTGAAAATACAAAAACAAAATAAGAATTATAGAATCTGTTTGTTCACTTTTCAGAAATTCTTGAAACATAAAAACAACTCATAAACTATCAAAAGATCGTTTCATACTTAAGGGAATCCGAACGAACATTAGCATACAAACAGAGCTTTTTGGGTTGTTGATAAAGCAATACTCAATGCGATTCAAAATCACATGTCGAAGAGTTTTGAGTCAGCCGTTTTCCTCTTCGCTTATCAGAATCATGTTCTTATGTGCTCGCGGCCAAAGAGAATCATCATTGCTAAGTAATAATAGTATTTGCATTCTTTTGTGCTCCAAGCCGTTTCATCCTACAAAACATAGGATTCAGAAGGAAAAAATGAGATGCAAAACCCATGAACTAAAGTACAAAACCCATGAACTAGTTCTATGCAAAGAAGTTTGATTAATTGCAACACTGAAAGATTCAAAAGTATTTACTTTCCAGTGAAGCATCAATTACTTATACCGCAAAACATATTCAAAAGAAGAAATGAGATGCGAAGCAGAAAATACAAACCCATGAACAAATTAACGTTGATCAAAAGTTCAAGAAAACCAAAATACAGTTCCATGCAAAGTATAATTTTAACTGATGAATAACTTATACTGTTAGTCTGTGGATAGATGGTTTAGTTGCAGGTTATATATATATAGATGTGATTCAAGATTAATCAAGCATTTTTATAACCTCTAAATAGTTTCATGGTATGCTTAATAAATTCCTTGAGCTTAAGAGAGAAATAAAATGATTCACCTTATGGAAGAGATGTATTTCTCTATCTCTGGTTTTTGCTCAGAGCTGAAGGAAAACCATTTCTCATGAGGACATACTTCATTCCACATACAAACAAAGAAAAGAGATTATAGTTACCATACTATTGTGAAGACAAACAAAGAGTTTGCAAAATATTTCACACCTTGAAGCAAAATGTTTTGCTCATCATTGTAAGACTTCAATCTCCAGAATGAATATAAGACCATTATCATCCAATTCGATGGGGTTGGTTCTAACAGCATCATCACTTCCTTGGCTCTCCGCAAACACGATACAACATTCAAGAAGCCTCTAATCAATCATGATCACTGAACCATAAAGAATCAAAGGAAGCTAGTGCCGTTGCATACTTATGTGTGGTTTGACTGCAAAATCATATATCAAACCTGAGATGTGTCAACAAAGACATGAATGAAATGAAAGTCTTTGTGTGTTTTTTTTTACCAGAAGGGATCGTTTCCTTGTGGCCAGAGTAGTTTAGAGAAGTCTTTGCAAGCATAGAGCTCGGTTGCATTATCTATCCTCAAGCTCTCATGGATCCGGTAATCATCAACGACCATAGACATGTAGCCATGGGAGGCCTTGTGGTTCTCGTTCTTGATTTTGATTTGGTATGGGAGATTATACATCTCCTTCATGTCGGCCATCAAGTTGTCTCTAAGGTCAGATGAGGCACCATTGAACTCTGCCACAACAAAAACCAACCTTGCTCCTCCATGGCTCTTCTGACATTGTCCCTTGTCGTGATCCAGTGACTCGGGCCTGGCACTAGTTTATTGTGGGAGAAATCGAGGATAGATAAGCATTGCTCTTCATGTGAGTCCATTGGAGTAGATAGACAAAAGGTCAGGTGATGATGAATTTAGAGATTACTCTAGCATTGCATTTATAGAAACATGTAATTCAGTAGGCGTCAAAGTCAATTGTACATTCACAAGGGATTCCAACCCTATGACCTTGTGAAGTCAAAAATACTAGTATTGATTAATGGTTTCACATCTCAATGAAACATGACATCAACCCTATGACCGTAGATGGAATGGAAGACAGAAGACGCACTCGAAGCCGCCACACACCCGTAAGTACTTCTTCATCAAGTCATTTTGGTAAGTCAAATGTCAAATATTATGATATATAATATATTATTGAATTGTATTTCATATGAGAACTAGGGGAGGTCTCCGCGCCCGGCGCGGAGTTGTATGTTGATTAAAACCAGAATTAGTCATTTAGGGTTATAAGTTTTAGACAATTATTGATTTAATTTTGTCAAGAGTATAATTTTTATAACGACATTAATATAGAATTATGGTAAAACGCCATAACGTTTGATATATTATTGCGAGAAAATAGTGATTATTATCCTATGAATATAGTAAAATGCAAAACAGAAAACTAAAATCATTAGAACCAGAAAGTATAAATTTAGTAGTTTTGGTTTGCTCATCAACAACCAAAGATAATCAAAAGATCAAAATTGGATGTCTGACATTTGTCCTTTCTTCTTGTTGGAAAAGATATCTCGCATCCTCGTTACATAATGACAAGAATGATTGAATAGAATCTGCGAACACTTGTATGAAGCAGTACCTCTTCGTCTACCTTAATTATCAAAGGAATATAGTTTCAATGTCTCAAACCCCAACAATACATGTTAAATAACAAAACCAAAACAAAATACTTTCACTCATTTCAGTTCTTGCAAATCTGAATATACATATGGTAATGTCATCAATACATTGCCTCCACTCAGCGAGAAATTTATTGATATAAAACCACGGTAGTCGATACCGGAGACGCTCACAACTACAAACAACAGAAATTTCGAAGGTACCAATAGTTCTTGACTTCGAATTTAATAATGTGACAATGACAATAATGTGACATCGACAATATTATGTTAACTTACAAAATCCTTCAATTTTTACAAGACATTGAAGTTTAAAGATTATGTTCATTTGGAAACTCCTTCCATTATCCTAAAGATATTGATGTCAAAACTCTTACGTTAATTTTGATATCATGCTCTTCCTCTCCAGACTATTTTAAATAATTGCCCACTCGTCAATGACTGGCTTCTTGGGAGCAAATTCAATCTGATGAGTGTTGTTTTTGTACTTTTGTAACAGAGTATGGGATGACCTCCTGCTCCTCTGTGAGATCTTTCGAGGTATGGAATTTGGTTTTCTCTAGGATTTATCCTCGACAAAGATTGTTTTGATTTTGGACTGAGATACTTCTTGGACCGACGCTCTTCTACCCATGAGATACTTAAATAATTGTTAACTCGTCAAAGATTGGGTTCTTGGGAGCAAATTCAATCAAATGAGTGTTGTCTTTGCACTTTTTCAGCGGAGTCTCGGGATCACCTCATGCTCCTCTGTGAGCTCTTCCTAGGTGTGGAATTTAGTTTTCGCTAGGCTTTATCCTCGACAAAGGTTGTTGTGCTCCTGGACTAAGCTACTTTCTTGGACCCGGCACTCTTTCTCTCTAGAGTCACATAATAATTGCCGACTCGTAAAAGACTGGCTTCTTAGGGACAAATTTAATCCGATGAGTGTTGTCTTTGTACTTTTGTAACGGAGTCCCGAGATCACCTCTTGCTCCTCTGTGAGCTCTTCCCAGGTGTGAAATTTAGTTTTCTATAGGGTTTTTCCTCGATAAAGGTTGTTTTGCTCTTGGCCTGAGCTACTTTCATGGACCGTCGAGAGTCACTTAAATAATTTCCCACTCATCAAAGACTGGCTTCTTGGGGCCAAGTGCTGTATTTTCACTTTTGCAACGGAGTCTCGGGATCACCTCGTGTTCTTCTGTGAGATTTTTCAAGGTGTGGAATTTGGTTTTCTCTAGGATTTATCCTCCACAAAGGTTGTTTTGCTCTTGTGTTGAGCTACTTTTTGGCACCTGACGCTCTTTTTCGGTTGAGACACTTAAATAAATCTCACTCTAATCGTCCTCTCCAGTCGTTAAAGACTGGTTTCCTGGGGACAAATTCAATTCGAGGAGTGTTGTCTACGTACTTTTGCAACGGAGTCTCAGGATCACCTCATGCTCCTCTGTGAGCTCTTTCGAGGTGGGAAATTTGATTTTCTCTAGGCCTTATCCTTAACAACGGTTGTTTTACTCTTGGGCTGAGCTACTTTATTGGACCCAACGCTCTTCCTCTCCTTACACTTTTAAATAATTGCCGACTCGTAAAAGACTGGCTTCTTGGAGATAAATTCAATCCGATGAGTGTTGTCTTTGTACTTTTGCAACAGAGTCTCGAGATCACCTCTTGCTCCTCTGTGAGCTCTTCCCAGGTGTGTAATTTAGTTTTCTCTAGGCTTTGTCCTCGACAAAGGTTGTTTTGCTCTTGGCTTGAGCTACTTTCTTGAACCGTCGAGAGTCACTTAAATAATTGCCCACTCATCAAAGACTGGCTTCTTGGGGGCAAGTGTTGTATTTGCACTTTTGCAACGGAGTCTCGGGATCACCTCGTGTTCCTCTGTGAGCTTTTTCAAGGTGTGGAATATGGTTTTCTCTAGGATTTATCCTCCACAAAGGTTGTTTTGCTCTTGTGTTGAGCTACTTTTTGGCACCTGACGCTCTTTTTCGGTTGAGACACTTAAATAAATCTCACTCTAATCGTCCTCTCCAGTCGTTAAAGACTGGTTTCCTAGGGAAAAATTCAATCCGATGAGTGTTGTCTATGCACTTTTGCTACGGAGTCTGAGGATCACATCCTGCTCCTCTGTGAGCTTTTCTGAGGTGGGAAATTTGATTTTCTCTAGGCCTTATCCTCAACAAAGGTTGTTAGACTCTTGGGCTGAGCTACTTTATTGGACCCAACGCTCTTCCTCTCCTTACACTTTTAAAGAATTGCCTTCTCATCAAAGACTGGCTTCTTGGGAACAAATTCAATCTGATGAGTGTTGTCTTTACACTTTTGCAACAGAGTCTCGGTATCACCTCATGCTCCTCTGTGAGCTCTTCCCAGGTGTGGAATTTAGTTTTCTCTAGGATTTGTTCTCGACAAAAGTTGTTTTGCTCTTAGGCTGAGTTACTTTCTTTGTCCTAACGCTCTTCAATCTGATGAGTGTCGTCTTTGCATTTTTGTTACGAAGTCTCATGATCACCTTCTGCTCCTTTGTGAGCTCTTTCCAGGTGTGGAATTTAGTTTTCTCTAGGATTTTTCCGCAACAAAGGTTGTTTTGCTCTTGGATTGAGCTATTTTCTTGGACATGACGCTCTTCCAGTCATGTGCCTTCTTTTCTTAGAAAAGTAGCATCTCAAGTGGTGGTCTATAAGTTCTGGCGACATCGTAATAACATTCTCCATAACTCCTTGCGGCTTGCTGCTCAAATCATTTTCAAGATGGTGGAGTGGAGCTACGAAATATCATCATTTCGAGATGAACAAAGCTTATGCTTATTTGGATTCGTAATCTATTTCCAAATCTTTCTTTACTCTACTGTAGTCTTGTTTTTATCTCTTTTTTTGCCAAGGTTGCTTTTGTGTAATTATTTATCTTTTGTAAAGCCTCAAACTTCATTTTAGATCATATTTACATGTTTAGGAAAAAATAATTCGGAAAAATGGAAACAAAAAAATAGATAAGCTTAGTAACTAATAAAAATTTTTGTGATCCTTAGCACAAAACAACTCCGCATTCCTGCAACTTTCAGCACACATATTTTTTAGCATCATTCGGGTGCCATTGCAAACAATAGTAGCCAAAACCATAAGAAACAATATCATAGAAACGTGATCGACTAATAAATATTCAGAAATTATATATACATGAAAAACAACAATATTCGAATACCTCCAGTGACTTCTATTCTAGTGAATCTCATGATAAATATGGTGATATTATCGCATTGTTTACTCCGTTCTCTCAAAAATTTACAACATTATCCACCATGTAGTCGACATTATAGACGTAAATTTATTATAAAATTAAGTTTTTAGCATACTACCCAAATTAAACTATAACAAATCTAATTTTGATTAAATTAATAACTTACAATTCATCTTCTAATTCCACATAAACTTGATCCCACACTTTATTATTGGTTTTCCGTCTTCAATATTGCTAACACTCACGACCCAACCAATTAAATATAATTATTTAAATTAATAGATCAAACCATAACAATGCAAAGAATAAAATATCCAAACAAAAGATATTATGGGACCAGGGAAATAAACATACTCAAAACTAAGTATCAATTTTCCTAAAAGATGCGAATGCGCAGTAATCAATCGCACCCAAGGAAGGTATATGTGAAACAAAGATTGATAAATTCCAATGAATTTTAAAATCATAAAAAGTAGGACTAAGCGAACCGATAACATGAATCAAAATCTCTAAGTGTTATCCATCCAGGGCCTGCCCTGAGATTTGAAGGGCCAAATACTCCAAAAAAAAAATTTTGGTTATTTTGAAAGGTTTTAAAATTTAGGGCCAATTATAGTAAAATAAATAAAATTAGGGCCGTTTCGTAAATAATTTTTGTTGAAGAATTTCAGAAACAAAATTTGGACTACAGCAAAAGTTTCTTGTTGATGTCTATAGGGCCGGCCATGTATCCATCGTCCTTGGAAAAACCTGAATCCACGATGACGATAATACTCTCTATCAATTATAGTATGTATGTCGTGACCCTAACAAACAAAATAAAATTGTTAAAGGTATAGCAATCTTTCAGCAAATAATTTATTTTATTAGAGAAACCAAAAATCTGTATAACCTCTGTATCAGTATAAGTTGGAACATATCGTCCAAGATCGAAGAACACTTAAACCTATTAAGTATCTATACTCAGATACTCTGATTTTACAAGGGAGCACTGAAGGGTGTAGATATGACACTCATGCTACGATAAAATCTTTCAAAGCATTTCTTGCTCATCTTCGGGGTTTTGTCCCATATTACGAGCCTAGCTAATCTAATCAAATATACATGATGAGAATATGTCTTTATCAAGTAAGTAGTGGATTGATTAGGGTTAAGTGGTATACCAAACCTCCTTAATTAAGACTCTTGGTCTCTTAGTCTCTGTTTTTATACCCTCTGTTTTACCTCTTTGTAAAGGAAGAATCTAGATTGTTCAACTTCATGACGTATTAATTAAATTTTCCAACATGCTATTTTTACATTTCACCGAATCGTTTGCTTCCCGGAACAGTTTCCTTCAAACATTGAGAAAAAAAATCATCATTATTTGATGTTCTAAAACTGAACAACAGAGCAGATGCAGGTATATCATGGATATTGAGGCTTAGAGTTGATACAAAGTTGTTTCTGAAAGATTTACCTTGCTTTAATTGCAGAAGCAGCAGTGTTGATTTTAGTCTTTTCTCTCTGTCACATTTTCCCTTAGCACTGTCTGTTTTCTAGAAGTAGCAGACACAGTCAAAGGTGTCTGTTTCCTTTGAGCAGCAGAGCATAATGAAATAGATCTTTCAAGACCGTTGATCTTCTTCTTAGTAGGATTAGTCATGGCTCGGTTACTACCTAGACAGATCTGTGATGCTAAGTTTAACATGTAAAAGGAGTTTTGGCTATATTCTCGAGGCTAAAAAAAAAACAAAAGGGTTAGCATCGCCTGCAGTTACATTCAGTGAATCATAAACTTAAAACGAACTCAACAGCAAGAAAAGTATATCAAGCATGTGATCAGCAACGTCTGTTGCATCCTTTTAAACAATCTTTCAGCATTCGAGTGAGTTTGCTCTCCCGATATGGCACATGGGATTCATTTCCGTTGAGAGCATACATGACATTCTGTAAAGCATATATCAAAGTATTAACTCTGGCAATCTCTAGAGGAGCTAGAGCACTGTTTTGTTTCCTGGAATCTGATACGAGTAGTTTATAGAAAAGGGTATTTCATAGATTATCAAGACGAGAATTACAAGGACTCGAGGAATTTGACAATGGAGCTCCTCCCACTCCCCCTAAGATTTCTCCAATTACTCGATAAAAGACCCTCACAACTCTCTCACACATTATATATATATAGACATAGACCAAACAAGAAAAGCTAAACCAACTATGGTTTACCCTCATAATAAACCTTGGTTAAATTGAAACCTTAGTAAATAGTAATTAGTCTTTTAACTGCTTCTATCAGAATCCTCATATCCTATCAGAGAAAGACAACACAAATCACATGCTGACATAAGATCATCACATAGAAAAGACAATTAAAATGTGATATTAAAATACTCAACCTGCCATATCAAGAAAGTTCTTCCTCCCAAGGGAGCCTGGATTGGCGTTGCCAGTGGTAACATGTATCATCACACCTTTATGGAATTCTGAGAGTGACTTCATAGGTACCTGAAAGCAGAAACATTGAAATATTAATGATGCTAATCTGCAAAATACATATGACGTTCCAAGACTTAATGATCAAGAACAATAAATGACTTGCCTGAGGAAGTCCCTTTAGTTGAATTTTCCCTTGTGCACCTTCCAGTACAGCAACCACTCGCTTCTCTTGGTCTAAAAGGTCATACACGGTTTCCTGAGAAACCTCGTAAACTGATACAGCCATGGATAGCATCTCAGACATTGTAAGAACGGTTAAACCAAGCTCCCTATCATTTCCCTACAAACCATACGATACAATAATTAGCATTTTTCATCTATAGTATCATGTCTGATAGTCAATACCTTAATGGGATTGCTTTCAATACATGTATGAGATGTGTTTTTCCGCAATTTCTTGCTCCGTGGGCGATGACATTAGCATCTTTACCCTCAAAGACAGTAGAGATAAGAGGCTTTATCTCCTTTGATAGAATTGAACCTGTGATTCTGTTTTTTTTGTAGCAATAGTCCAATTTATATGAATCTTTCGAATTGCCACAACACAATAGTTAATATGGCTTGAAACGTTGCTAATCCACAACAGACTGTGAAAGATTTAACTCAAAACTCAAAAGTATATTCTACTCAGTGAGAACATTTTTGTAAAATTAGAAAATCGATAAATTAAAGATAAAAGATCAATTGAAACATCACTTGAATCTTCTTCATGCATCGTGGTTGCTTTCATTCATCCAAAACATACAATCGTTTAAAAAAACAAACACTATTAGAATTTATAGTAACGAAAATAATATGTATAGCCAAAAAAGAAGAAGATGAGCATACCAAGGCTCCTCGGAGGCAATGATGGGTGTCTGAAAATTTTAGCAGCGTTGTGCCTCTTGTTGGTTGGAATTGGAACACCAGCTGGTGTATAAGGATCACACATAACCTGCATGTATCAATAATCAATAATTTCATGGATCTGATATAGTTCCAATTGAATTTGGTACACTAATCAGATAAAACAAACCAACCAAGATGTTGTTGCCTTTATTGAAGTTTAATATAATAATTGATGATTAAGCGTTACATAGATGGATAAAGACGTGACAATAAAAATAGATAGATAAAAACAAGCTTTACGTTTTTACACGCCTTGATTCAAGGCAAGACACCGAAACACCCCGTGAAACGAACATGTTCATACCTAAATGAAAAATCCACAAAGAGATCAGTATTTAAAAAAGAGATAAAACTTCTGATCGCATCAATACAAAGAAATAATAATAATTGAGACTCCTGGTGAAAGATAATCAGAGAGAATCAAGAGAAAAAGAAGAGTTCCCAACGATTATAGTCTATTAGGGTTGTTGAGAGGCCGTAATTTGCATCATGATGGAAGCAATAATCAAACTGATATCAAATTATGTAAATACAAAATCAAAGCTTCTTTTTTTTTTAGTGAAGAATATGGTAAATACAAAATCAAAGCTTAATTTTTTTTTAGTGAAGAATATGAAATCTAAGCTGCTCGCAAAATATTATGGGAAAGCTTATAGATTTCTCAATACATCCAAGCATAATTTAAATATTAAACATGAAAGTACTAAAGTGAAAAACTCACCATATGTTCGATTGAATCAGCAATTTAATTGTCATGGAATTGTTTAACGACGTTGCATCCGTAACCTATAAACCATACATAAACACCATGAATTCATATGTGTAAAGCCAAATAAAATAAAACGCAAAAAAAAAAAAATAGAAAGCAAAAAAAATGGGGTTAGTTATGATTTGAAAGTGAAACCTAGAGAAAGTATTTATATTAAACTGAAAGGCGGTGTACGATCTAAATTTTTTAATTTTTGAAGATAATTACAACAACAAGAAAGGAAGATTTATATATTGTGTTAGATCAAATCTTTATCAAAACAATTAATATTCCTAAAAACAATTAATAATTACTATGGATATTAATTATAAAAAAATATTCCTTATTTTATTGGTTAAAAAATGGAACAATAACATAATTTTTTTTAGATTTACAATTATATTTGACATTTTTTTAGATACACCATCATTATCGGTATAAAATATAAAAGAAAGTTTCTTTTATTTTATCAGATTTGTGAATTTAAAGAATATATGATAGTTGTTTTGATATTATCGGCAATATCTATATATTTTAGAAAAGTAAATTTTACTTTTAAAAACAATTGGCTCGTAATTATCACAACATAAATTTATCATTAATATATCAAAAATATAATTAAACGATTAATTATTAGACACATCTTTTGTTGAAAAAAAAATAAAAAGAACCAAAAAGGATAAAAAAAACACGGAAAAGGAAGAGAAAATAAGAAGACACGACCAATCCTTTCTCCGACGTAATTGTATGTGACTCACGACCATGATTAGATTGGTGGAGATTAATATACCCATCGATTTTGTGCATGCTCCAAAACGAATATCCTGAAAATCTTTCCCACGAGACTCATTAGTCTCTTTATTATCTAAGGTAATTTAAAAGAATAGTTTGTTTGATTGGTTGCAATTGTAGGATGCAAGATCATATCAATATGATGGTTTAAAGACAAAGGATGGCCAATATGATGGTTTTCTATGATGATTCAACATATCAAAAGGTGGTTTTCTATCATTAAATTGCCAAATTTCTGTTATTGCTATGAATGTATGTTTTATGGTAGGATAACAAGTTCTTGGTGGTCATTGGATGTTCTTGGTCGAACGATAAACCGTCATAAAAAGGTATGTAAACTACATTTGATCCAAATTTATTTATTTTTTTCATTTTTTCGTGTTTAAGAGTATTACTATTTTTAAAAATGTAAAATATATCGAATTTTTATATTTTAGGGTCAGTTATTTTTTTAATTTTAATTAATATTCGAATTAATTTAATAGAGGGTATTTAAGTAATTACGCAAAATCAAGGGCTCAACAAGAGCCGAGAGTCCGACACGTCAGGAAAAACACTTCTCAAATATTGTTATATATAGAGGCTCCTCGGAGGCAACGATGGGTGTCTGAAAATTTTAGCAGCGTTGTGCCTCTTGTTGGTTGGAATTGGAACACCAGCTGGTGTATAAGGATCACACATAACCTGCATGTATCAATAATCAATAATTTCATGGATCTGATATAGTTCCAATTGAATTTGGTACACTAATCAGATAAAACAAACCAACCAAGATGTTGTTGCCTTTATTGAAGTTTAATATAATAATTGATGATTAAGCGTTACATAGATGGATAAAGACGTGACAATAAAAATAGATAGATAAAAACAAGTTTTACGTTTTTACACGCCTTGATTCAAGGCAAGACACCGAAACACCCCGTGAAACGAACATGTTCATACCTAAATGAAAAATCCACAAAGAGATCAGTATTTAAAAAAGAGATAAAACTTCTGATCGCATCAATACAAAGAAATAATAATAATTGAGACTCCTGGTGAAAGATAATCAGAGAGAAGCAAGAGAAAAAGAAGAGTTCCCAACGATTATAGTCTATTAGGGTTGTTGAGAGGCCGTAATTTGCATCATGATGGAAGCAATAATCAAACTGATATCAAATTATGTAAATACAAAATCAAAGCTTCTTTTTTTTTAGTGAAGAATATGGTAAATACAAAATCAAAGCTTTTTTTTTTTTAGTGAAGAATATGAAATCTAAGCTGCTCGCAAAATATTATGGGAAAGCTTATAGATTTCTCAATACATCCAAGCATAATTTAAATATTAAACATGAAAGTACTAAAGTGAAAAACTCACCATATGTTCGATTGAATCAACAATTTAATTGTCCTGGAATTGTTTAACGACGTTGCATCCGTAACCTATAACCATACATAAACACCATGAATTCATATGTGTAAAGCCAAATAAAATAAAACGCAAAAAAAAAAATAGAAAGCAAAAAAAATGGGGTTAGTTATGATTTGAAAGTGAAACCTAGAGAAGGTATTTATATTAAACTGAAAGGCGGTGTACGATCTAAATTTTTTAATTTTTGATGATAATTACAACAACAAGAAAGGAAGATTTATATATTGTGTTAGATCAAATCTTTATCAAAACAATTAATATTCCTAAAAACAATTAATAATTACTATGGATATTAATTATAAAAAATATTCCTTATTTTATTTGTTAAAAAATGGAACAATAACATAATTTTTTTTAGATTTACAATTATATTTGACATTTTTTTAGATACACCATCATTATCGGTATAAAATATAAAAGAAAGTTGCTTTTATTTTATCAGATTTGTGAATTTAAAGAATATATGATAGTTGTTTTGATATTATCGGCAATATCTATATATTTTAGAAAAGTAAATTTTACTTTTAAAAACAATTGGCTCGTAATTATCACAACATAAATTTATCATTAATATATCAAAAATATAATTAAACGATTAATTATGAGATACATCTTTTGTTGAAAAAAAAACAAAAAGAACCAAAAAGGATAAGAAAACACGGAAAAGGAAGAGAAAAGAAGAAGACACGACCAATCCTTTCTCCGACGTAATTGTATGTGACTCACGACCATGATTAGATTGGTGGAGATTAATATACCCGTCGATTTTGTGCATACTCCAAAACGAATATCCTGAAAATCTTTCCCACGAGACTCATTAGTCTCTTTATTATCTAAGGTAATTTAAAAGAATAGTTTGTTTGATTGGTTGCAATTGTAGGATGCAAGATCATATCAATATGATGGTTTAAAGACAAAGGATGGCCAATATGATGGTTTTCTATGATGATTCAACATATCAAAAGGTGGTTTTCTATCATTAAATTGCCAAATTTCTGTTATTGCTATGAATGTATGTTTTATGGTAGGATAACAAGTTCTTGGTGGTCATTGGATGTTCTTGGTCGAACGATAAACCGTCATAAAAAGGTATGTAAACTACATTTGATCCAAATTTATTTATTTTTTTCATTTTTTCGTGTTTAAGAATATTACTATTTTTAAAAATGTAAAATATATTGAATTTTTATATTTTAGGGTCAGTTATTTTTTTTAATTTTAATTAATATTCGAATTAATTTAATAGAGGGTATTTAAGTAATTACGCAAAATTAAGGGCTCAACAAGAGCCGAGAGTCTGACACGTCAGCAAAAACACTTTTCAAATATTGTTATATATAGATACAAGATACATATATATAGTGTCAACATTAACATAAACATAATGCTAACACCCACATAATGTAAACTTTCTTAAACACATAAAAAAATAGCTTCTACAAGAATTAATATAGAGATATGGAATATTCTAATGTTTGGGCTTCATTGGCTTCATTTCATAAATGAACTTTAACGGTCCATATTACTTGGTTATCTTGCTTATCACCAATATCAAACTTAGACATCACGAGGAGCGGCTTCGGAATCAACCTGCGATACATCAATGGACCGGGAAAACAGAGTAACCGAAGAACAGTCTAACGTTCTTAGCTTCAGTAACAAGTAAAGAACAAGTCCACACCCAAATCCTAAGGCGGCACTCGAGCGAGTCATGGACACAGCAGCGCAGACCAACATGATGAAGGAATCTTCTTTGGAGTTCATGTCTTTGGAAGCCATTGCCAGTTCGATCCCTGCGAATAGCAACAGAACCCCCAAAATTCCTGTGGAAGTCGAAACTAACACAATCGAGATTTGTCTAGGGTTTCAATTTAGGGATACGATTTGCGAGAATTCTCAAAGAACGACAGAATCAATTGATACCAAAGATGGTGTTCTTGATATTATTAAGAAAAAGATGACTTTGATCGTACAAGAGTTTGATCGTAAAAGAAAAAGGTGTTTGTGCTGTGAAAGCTTTGCGTAGTGTAAATTCTAGAGCGATATTGCTTGCCTTCTGCGAGAGCCTTGAATCTCTTTATATAGGGGTGATAAACCGCCTCTCCAGCGATATTCTCGGAAGATTTCCATTTATCTTGGAGTCGGCTCAGAATATCGCGGATTAGGATAGTTTCCTTATTTTTTGGGGGTTTTTGGAAGGTTTCCTGATTTGAGTTGATCTTTCGAGATTCTCCCCTATCATTTCCGGGTCTATCGGAAATGATCCTTCGGAAATGACGCTTTGCTTGGAAATGATACTTTGAAGATGAATATTTACCAAGTCTTTGCCTCGGGTGATGGTGAAAACTTCGCCTCGGAGAACTTGTGCAATCGGCTCGGGTATACAGGAGAGACTAGCTCGGGTACCCCGAGCTGTCTTGTTCGAGTACCCCGAGGCGATGGGCTCGGGCACTCCGAGGCGATTGGGCTTGGGTATCCCTAATGTCGTGTCCGGGTACCCCCGAGGCGATGGGCTCGGGTACTCCGAGGCGATTGGGCTCGGGTATCCCCAATGTCGTGTCCGGGTACCCTCGAGGCGATGGGCTCGGGCACTCCGAGGCGATTGGGTGGATAACCCGGGGTGGATGATGCGATATCCCGAGGTGATCTCTGTAAAACTCCTGAGGTGTTCTAAGTCTGGCTCGGTGCCAAAGGATGGAATCCGACCCCAACAGTTAGCCCCCCAGCTCGTTAGTTTGGAGAACCAAGCGTGACGAGCTTTATGACAATTAGGCCGAGCCGTTTACTTTGGACAGTTCGGTCCCTTTAAAGTTTTTGGCGATTCGAATTCCTCTGTCGTTTCATCTTCTCTTGGCGTGTGACGGTTGGGATTCCTTCTCGAGAAGTGGAAAGGTCCTTTCGCTGATTCCCGAGATTCGTGCGGATGCGAAGTATCCTACTCAATTCGTGCGTGCCCGACGCGCCTTAGACGCGGATACGATGTGTTTTATTTGGCTCGTTCGTACCCGACGCGCCCTAAATCTCTATAAATGTTAAGTCTCCGACTCATTTTTTCATTTCGCAACTGCAAAGGAAAATTTTCAAGGTTCGTTCTCTTCTCTCTCTGATCTTGAGTTCTTGCATTTTGTACTTTTTCCGTTATACTTCCGTCGTAGCGCCACCGTCATTAGATCTAGGTTGATTTCTCCGATCTGTCAAGCTTTGTTCCTCTGATCAACTTCTTCAATCTCCCGAGCCAAAAAATGTCTCTCTCTGATTCCAGTGATTCGCCCCGAGGCAACACTCATCTCCCTGTCTACAAGAGAAAGATGGTCTGGAGTTCTTCGAGCGACCCCGAGGCGGATACCACGGACCGTCAGATCGAGTTGTACCGTGGTAGTGATGCAGAGTCGGCTTCACAGGAAGAAGACCCGAGCCGTTTCATCGCTCGGGAAGACGCGATTGCAGATGTGGCTCGGGATCAGGATTTGCCTGATGATCCCGAAGCGATTTTGAATAGGAGGGGGATACATCCACCGACAGTTGGTGAAGCTGGAGTCTCATGCTGGCAAAATGCCCCCGAGGCGTCTCTACTTCCTATTAAGGCCGAGGAGGTTCATTATGACTCTGACGAGGCGGCCAGGTTGCTTCAAGCTAAAGTTCAAGCAGCCAAGGGTCAACAGAAGAGAAGACGAGCCAAGAAAGCTAGGAAACCCGATCCCCCGGGTTCCACCTTATGCACGGAGGACTCCCTTCGGGATCTCAAGGCCCGGTTCGGTTTTAGCGAGGGAATCGAGCTAAGACTTCCAACTCCGAATGAGCGAGCAGATGATCCGCCTGAGGGGTTTTTCACCCTTTACGAGGGGTTCTTCTACCATTGCTACCTTTGGCTTCCAATCCCGAGGCCGATTTTGGCGTTTCTGTGGTCGTACAAGATTGCTCTATCCCAGATAACGACCGAGGCTTGCGGCATCTAGTGGGGATTTTAGTCCGAAGTATTGAGACTGTCAATATTGTCGGTCTCAGCCACTTGAGGAATCTCCTAGAGATCCGGCGCATACCAGGCCCTGTTGAGAGATTTTACATATCTCCGAGGCCAAATAGGAGGGTTATCGGTGGTTTCCCGAGCAAGGATGAGAAGTACACCGATAACTTCTTTTACGTAGCCTTGAATGAGTATAGTGTCCACGAGGACTACTTAGGGAAAGTTGTTGGAAAGTGGCGAAAAATTGGTACTACGCCCGAAGCCGTATTTGCTGTTTTGTTTTGCTTTAACCTTTTCACTGACCGTTTTTCTTGTTCATGCAGATCGGAATCCGTCATTTCTCGTAGACGTTCCCGAAGGCTTTCTAGATCTCCACGACGAACTTATAGCTCGGAAGTGCGATTGGACGAAACACTTCTCCCAGGAAAGAATTGAGAGAGCCTTGCGTTTGCTGCACGGAGCTCCCTGCCAGTCTTCTTCGGAATCATCCGACCATCGTCTAGATCACCTCATTGAAATGCAAGGAGCCGCGCAGTCTTTGAGGGCGAAGAAAGCTGCCGAAAGAAAGGGTTTTAGAGACGACTTTCGGACCGCCAACTCCGCCTGAGGTTAACAATGATCCAGAGGTTGCCGATGGTACCGAGGCGACTGAGGAGGCTCGGGTCGCTGCAGATTCATCCAGACCCGAGGCCTCCAGTGACGTTCGGCCGGATGTAGAAGTTCCCGAGGTAGGGGCTTTAGCGGTCGTAGCTCTGAGTGCCGAGGCGAAGGCTAAGGCGAAATTGAAGAGGCCCCGAGGTGATAGCTCGGGAGGACGCAGAAAGGAGAAGAGGAGCCGTAGTGAGGCTCCCATCTACAAGGATAAGATAGCTTCGGCTAATCTTATCGCTTCTTGTTCAGGTCCGCCGCTTTCCGCTCCCGAGGCCTTGCTGGAGGCACAAAACTACCGTGAAACCGCTGCTGGATTTCTGAAGGTATCGATTCATTCCTTACGTGTTTTTCTATCGTTTCCATACTTGTTTGCTGATGATTCCCGTTCGATTTCAGGCCTTTAACTCGATGAATTCCATGGTTCGAGCCTACGATTCTGGAGCTCGGAAATCCGAGCTTGCTCGTGAAAAGTCGGAGATCTCGCGAGCC